TGATGTGCTTCACTGTAGCATGTTCTATCGATTCTACTTGCAACATATTTCACTGAGTTGATAAAAGATATTTTGTTTTCTCTACAGTTCGATAGTTCTGATTATGTGATTCCAGTCAGTCCAACTTTCTGTAAGGGTATGGGTGTGAGTATGAGTATGAATGTGGATCCATACCTGTCACTCGCACGCACACGCACAACCACCCTTTCTTTCAGTTTACAGAATATGTCCAAGAAAATTTCGAAACGATTTTAATCGTTTAATTGATCGACTGTCGATAATAGAAACAAACTATTTCATAAAAGACCATGTGATCTATTTTAATTTCCCGTTTTCTTGAAATCAAGAATGCTAACATGTCTTTTTCATTTCATTTTATTCTATCAAAATAAATATATTCTCTGCCATTTTGTTTATGATACTTATAAACGCACAAAAGTAAAAGATTTACCATTGATGCACGATATGAGAATTTTACATGCAATTCTACGTTCTTTATGGAAGAATACGATCGTTCAAATGAATCATTTGAAAGAAAAAGTAGTTAAGTATTAAACATTTTTTTTTGTATATTATAATAATTAACTTACTTATTATTTTTTTAGAATATGATATCAACAATCTACGAGTATGCTCTAAGTATCGTATAAAAAGAACTTTAAAAACAAGTTCTATTGATAACATCATATTATTATCATTAATTGTATTACATAAACATGTTACTGGAAATAGTTTGACAATATTTATTCAGTTGTATAATAAAGCAAAATAAAATTTTGAGCAGATATATACTAATGAGTTCGAATATGTCTTTATTCATTAGTATCAAAAAAAAATGAGAAGAACTAATTAGTATTTGTGGGAGTTTTATACTTTAATGATGATATGCTTGACAATGTCAAATTTATAAACGCTTAATAATAATTTAATATATTAACTGTATAATATATTTTAGATTTTCAATGAAAGTCATATTTATATAATATATATACAAGATATCGATGACTGAGATTAAGACAACATCAATCATTCCATGGAATAGTACAACAAGTATGACAATAACTTCTACTTCTTTATTGGAAATTAAATCATCGATCAGTATTCTTATTTGGTTTGAAATCATTGCAGCTTGTATCACGTAAGAAGTTTTTTTTTGTCTGAAAATTTTTTATCGAAATTATTTCAGTTATGGTTTTGGTTTTATTGGTAATCTATTATCATTATTTATTTTCTCTACACAAAGTGATTTTCGAAATGTCTCTACAGGTGTTTTATTTCTTCTTATGACTGTATCAAATACTGCTCATTTATGGACATTAACAACAGAATTTCTTGGTACATTTAATATCTATGTTTATTCGGATGTATTTTTACAATGTCGTCTTAATTATTTTATACAAAATGTTAGTCGAGCAATTAGTACGTATTTAGCAATTACTGTTACATGTGATCGATTAATTCGTTCCGAATTACCAATACGGTCACGATTTATATGTACACGTGAAAATGCAATTAAATTAACTATATTCTATTGTATTATTTTTTCAATTCTTCATTCATTCTGGTTCTGTCCATTGAATACATTAAGTCCAATAGGTGGTGTTTGTTATACTGGTCCACCATCAGCATATACGTATTTTTTTAGTAATATATTTCTTCCTCTTCGATTAATCTTTATTTGTATTATTCCTGTTATTATTATGAGTTTAGCAAATATACGTATGTTATTTAATATCAGACAATCTCATCGACGTGTTACACAAGGAAATGAAATCAATGTAATTCCTGGTGGATCGATGAGACAACGTATGACATCACTTGATCGAATGCTTTTCTATATGATGTTAGTCAATGTTAGTGCATTTATTATAACACAAATTCCGTTTCAAGTTTATACCCTTGTACGAACTTATTACAGAGATTTAAGTACACTTGATAATTTATTAGTTCGTGCATTGGTATTGATTTGGTCAAGTATTTATTTTGGTTTTGGATCTTATTTATATTGTTTTGCATCGCCACTTTTTCGTGAATCACTTTTTAGAATACTTAAGAATATTATTTATTGTCGAATACATCAGCAAAGACGATAGTTCTAAAACATAAGAGTATTACATGAAATTCTTTATATTTTATTTGTTAAGATAAATGTTTTGTTTATCAATAAATTTCTTTATATTAAATATTCTATCTTTCCTGTTATGATTAACTTAGTTAATGAATATTATTCAATAATGAAAGAAAAATTTGTTTTACATATAGGAAGACAAAACTAAATTTATGTTGTTACATGATGAATTAATTGACAATTTATTAATTTTCTGCCTATTCGTATAAATTTTCTACGAAATAATGGTGATGCTAAACAATATAAATAAAATGCAATACCAAAATAAATACTTGACCATATTAAAAGCATACTATAGATTAATGAATCAGTATAACTATTAAATGTATGAATATTAACTTGTACTACCATATAAATATGAAATGGAATTTGTGTTATAATAAATGTTAAAACACTTGCTGCCATCATAAGTAAAAGCATTCGATCAATTGCTAATGTTCGACGACCTACTGGTCCACTAATAGCTGTTGATGAAATAATCGTACTACTTTTATATCCATCATTGTTGTGTGGAATATCACTAACACGCATTCGTGCTTGACGAATATTACTCATCATACGAATATTTGATGCCGTCATTATAATAATTGGTATAAGACAAAAGAATATTGCTCGTAATGGTATATGTATATTAACAAGAAAAAATTCAAAATTTATTGATTGATTATAAATACATTCACCTGTAATTAAAATTTGACTACTAAATGGATATAAATAAAATGACCAAAATAAACAAAATATAATGAAAATAATAATTGTCACTATAAAAATATTCTTTCGTGTACATATCATTTTTGAACGTAATGGCATTTCTGAACGAATAAAACGATCAACAGCAATACCAACTGAAAAATATGTACTCATTGCTCGACTAATATTTTCAACAAATGGACTGAGATGACATTGAAGATATATATTTGAATATATAGAATAACCACAAATACCAAGGAAATCTATTGCTAATGTCCATAAATGAAAAAAATTTGATATTGTCATAAGAAGAAATAAAATACCAGTTGATATTCTACGAAATTCTAATAATGAAGAAAAAACAATCAAAGCAAATAGATTACCAATAAATCCAAGACCATATCTATTCAACAAAGAGAAATACTATAAAAAAATTAATCGAAGATTACTTACGTTAAACATGCAGCAAAAATTTCAAATCGAAGTAAAATAATTAATGATGAAGTAGTATTCGTTTCTGTTAGATTTAAATTAAATGTTTGATTCATTGATATGTTTAATGAAAACTGACTAGAGATAGAATGTTAAAGAAAAATAAATAGTTTTTATCTAATGATCATATATAATATTCTACTCATGCAAAAAAGAATTATCAAAATTCTTTATAAATAGTAACTTATAGCAAGATATATGAAACTTATTATAGTTAGATAATAATATACTTTTAGCATGAAATGAGCTAAACAATCTTCTTATAATCAGATCATGACAACGAATGATTTTACTAATGAATAATTATATCTTAAAAGATTATCTGACGTCAAGCAAGAAACATATGACGTACATCAGAAGGCTGATAAAAAAAATAATAAATCAACAAGTTCATTATTAATTATTCTATCGTTTCAAAAAGGAAAATAATTTAACAAAATTTTCTATGTTCGATTAAAGTCAATTTCATATTTTATTATATATTTGATTATTAGGATAAATGCTTATGTATCTAGAATAGTATAGATCCTGTTTATAAAATTATTTTCTTTGTTGTCCTTACTTCAATTCATCTTCTCAAATTAGTTTTACACATGACAGTATAATTTAAACAATAATTATTGATACTTTTGTAGACTTTCTCTTATGTGAAGACATTTTCAAAAATTAAAGAAGACAAAATTAAGCACTTGATGTGATACAATTATTATGAACTCGATCAGTATTGCCAATTTTTGTCCTTCGAAAAGCAGAAATAAAACGGAAGGTGTTTTTTAATATCAAACTATGGTTTAAGCCCAGCCGAAATAAAATAATAAGAAATTTTGGCATTATATTTTATATTCTAGTGCACAAAATTAAACAGAGACAAATACATTTACTGAACATTTTTTTTAAACGTATATTTTTCATCTGACCTAATAGCTTTCAACATGTCCTGGGTCGATAAGATATACTTGTATATATCAGCACATTTTAAAGTGGCATTCCAACGTATTTATAATTCTGTTGTCACACAGTTCCGCTTGTCATTTACTAAATGTTTCATTTATGAGAAAATACAGATTCAACATAAGTATTATTGCAAGGTAATGAAAATAAAAACCATAATAGTTTTTTAAAATCTGGTGATGGAGTAAGAGAAAGTAATAACATCCAGAGTTAATCGGATCTTACAATCTGACTGTGTGTTAAATGATTATTTTGACAAAATGATCAGTTAAAATATTGAGAATTTTTATTGAAAATATAAAAGAAAAAGACAAAAAAATTTAAAAAGCAGAAAAAACCCAAAAAGCAGAGCGACAGAAGAAAAGCAGAAAAACTTTCAAAAAGCAGAAGCAATAGAATAAAAGCAGAAATTTTCTGTTTAAAGCAGAAGAGGTCGCAATACTGTTAACAATTGAAAAGAACACTGGTTGATGCACACATACAAAAAAAATTGAAATAGGAAAAGAGAAAAAAAACGAGCAAAAGCATTTAATGGACTATCTTGTTCGTTTCACTTCACTAATCAATCACTCATAATCTACGCTTCCATACCTCACATCTTGTATCGACAGAAATTTTATAAAATATAATGAAGAAAATTCTATTGAAGAGACAAATTTAAGATTTTTTGTATTGTTTTTTGGTTTGATACTACAATACGTAGCAGATTTAGTTCATTATTCGAGAAGAAGCAAATGTATTAGCAGATTGTCATAGAGTTGTCATCGATAAACGAATCTATAGTAGAGCCACTGTGTAGAGTAAACACCATTTGATATTGGATTGATCGCGTTCCAGCAGGAATAGGGTATGAATTTGAGTATGAGGTCCAAAGAATACCACCTGTCTGCTCGGGACTGTTGACAGTGCTCAAAACAGCATTGGAAGCATCGAGAAAGGACAAGGCCACTGCAGCACCGTCGTTGCTCAGCAATTGTATAAGGTCACGAGTCCAGAAGAGCAAAGTGACGTTAAGAGTACCTGTATCGATCTGCGATGCTGTGATCGATGGACTTGCAGTCATAATGACAATGGTCTGTGTGAGCGTGCCGGACGAACCAGTCCCTCCAACAAATTGATATGATCCAGTGCGAGGACCGAAACCAATATCAAACGTGCCACTATCTAGTTGTGGATTTGAGCTGCCACCCACGACCCAAGGCGTGAGCACACCATCTTCTCCACCGGGATTTACAAGCAAGTTGATGCCTATAAAAGAAAACATATTCTCAACCTGAATGTTATAGCACGTACTTTCAACTTAACATAAGGTAAATCATAATATAAGTACTATTCATGTATTCGTTCTCTTTCTTTTCTTACATATAAATATATGTTCGCTATAGCTATCACTTTTTTTCGTTCTTTTCTTTTCCTATCCCATATTTCATATGTTTTTCCAATAATATATGAGATCCTTTCGTTTTATTTCATTCAGTTCTGAGTTAATATGTTATATAAATAGTTACGATTTTTCTATATTCCACTCTATTCAGATAAACACTATTGAAAACCAATTGAGACAAATAATATTTGACTTTATTTCGCCTCTTACTTTCAGTTTCATAATTCGCTTTTCAATATCTCATAAAGCCACTCTTTTTCAAGCAGACATAAGATACACATGCAATTTAATAAAGTACTTACAACTAGGGTTAATTGCGGTTGTTGTACTTGTTGTTGTTGTTGTTGTTGTTGTTGTTGTTGTTGTAGTTGTAGTTGTAGTTGTAGTTGTAGTTGTTGTTGTTGTAGATGTTGTTGTTGTTGTAGTTGTAGTTGTTGTTGTAGTTGTTGTAGTTGTTGTTGTGGCTGTTATACTTATTGTTGTTGTATTTGTTGCTGTTGCATTTGTTACTGTTGTACTTGTTGTTGTTGCATTTGTTGTTGTTGCATTTGTTGTTGTTGCATTTGTTGCTGTTGCATTTGTTGATGTTGTGTTTGTTTTTGTTGTAGTTGTCGTCGTTGTGGTTGTGATTGTCAATTCTGTATAAAGCAAAAAGACTGAATGAAATCTTCTCCTTATGAATATAAAGATTGGATATACTTCTTCCGTTGGTAGAAAAGTCAGCTCGTCTACTTAAACCGCAATGGAAATATTCAATTCTTTTTTCGGTACAATGACTTTTATTTCACTCTGTATATCTCTCTTTAAATACACTCACATGGATTTTCCTGTCTTTCTTCGTTGACAATGCTTATTTATGATTATGTTTCTATTACAACAACTGAAACAAATCATTTGGTACAGCATCAATTTAGTGCTATAGTCTTTTAAAATCTTATACGTTAACTCAAATAATATCATTATATGAAAGTTTTCGAGATAGTAATAGCTTTTACATATGCTGAAACTCATGAAAAAAACTACTATTAATGATGAATCAAAAATATAGTACTGTTGTTTATTGTTACAATTACTATGATAATAAATAGATTCCTCCATAAATCTTACATTATATTATGTAGTTTTCTATAAAATATCTAAACTAATACCAGTGCACATTCTCATCTACATTCTTACATCATAACCCTCAAGAATAGAAATCATAGAAAATATCTCGAACTTAAATATTACTTACCTAGTGTACACGTTGCACCACTCCATCCTGCAGCGCATGTACAAGTATCAGGAGCGGTACATTGGCCACCATTTTGGCAGCCATTTGTGCATATAGCTGAAAGAAATAATAGAAATTATTAGAATCCATCAAACTCTGAATTTACGTCACCGTTTGTACAAGTGTCACCACTCCATCCCGTAATGCATGCACAAGTTGTGGGACCTGTGCATACACCACCATTTTGACAATCGACTGAACACGGTTCTGAAAAGAATAAGCATACATTTGTAAGTTATATTTGTTCAAAAATAGCTATCTTCTCATACACTTATTTCTATCTCAACTATTTCGACGAAACATGATTTTGGTAGAAGAATCAAAGTTTAAATTCTCAAACTCTAAAAGTTTTAGATTTGGATTTTACACTATAACATGCCTGAATCATGGAACTTAAAAACGGAGCGTCACATTTGGATATCTTCTATTACCCGTAAATATATCCATATATTCTTTCAATATTCACGATAAAAATAGTCACTATCTGATCTAGAACTGGTGTTTTTCTCATATAAAATTTCAGATTTATACATATATCTTGCAATGCTATTCGAATCGAAAACTATTCAAAATAATTTCTTGGTTCAATGTAGAAGCGCCGAAGCTAGTAAAGAAGTGATAAGAGAATCAATCTACTCACCGACAACAATACCATTGGAACTACTATCACTGTTACTATTCCCGTTGGGATAAGATTGAACGTGGCAAAGTTCCAAGGGTAATATGCTTCCATCATCAGTCGTCATATCGATATTGGTTACAGCATTGAATTTTTCATGAATACTGGTAAGGAGATCGACTTGATAGGCCAAATTTTGGCATGGTAGATGTTTTGGACAATTCAATCCAATACTAAAGACGATAGCTTCACCTGATCGATCTGTTTTATCGCATTGAAGACTATGAGTAAAGTTATAGGTAAATATGACTAGCATAAATGAATTAAAAAGAAAATTACTCGCGACGACGTCGACCTTTGGCGCTGGTTGCGGGTGCACTGCTGATGCTGGTGACGGCGACAGAACCTGTGGGAGCACCGGTTGCTTGTTGTAACTAAAATACAATACATATTATGAGCTAACATAAAAGACAAAAATTACGCAAGAGGCTGTTGTTTGCCGGTTGGTGACGGATTGCGTGGCGCGCTTTTTCACTAATCCAGATGGCAACAAGTAAGCGACATCCAACGAAGTAAGTGATTGTTCTAGAAAAGATTATGCATGTGTAAGATGAAAACAATAAATAAACACTAACTAACGGCCATTAACGTTCCAGATCCGGTGTTCGAATCCTTTCTTGGTACGTAAAGTGGAATGAGTGAAAGAACAATTGTGCACGCTATGGCAAATAGTGCTAATCCAAAAATGCCAAGTACAGAAAACCTATATAATTACTAGAAGATGATAAAATTCATCAAATATACTCAAAACTCACGTTCGAGAAGGTCTTATGTTTAAATGAGCCATAGCTTTAAGCCAATTGAAAGAACGTTGTCTTGTAATGAAGAAAAAAAATCTGAAATGAAATTGTGTATGAAAATTAAGTGATGAAGAGAAGTCAACTCGATATGAATTAATACTCAATGATGCTTAAAATCAGTTGCACGCGGAGAACCAATAAAGTTTACAACCCAGTTACGTAGGTTACAGAATCTGACTAATTATCCACTCTGGATCAATAATCGTAAGAACGACAGGAGCGGTTTCATTGAGAACCCAGTCACATAGAGTATAGAATCTGACTTAATGCCTATTTAGGGTTAACAATAATAAGAATGAAGAGACCGGTTTTATTAAGAGTTCAGTCATTGAGAGTGCAGTATCTAACTTAATATCTAGCCACGCATAATTAGGGATGTAGATTAATACTGAATTAAACTGCAGGACAAGTCTCATTGAAGACGCAGCCCTAAAGCATAGAAAAAGTTACCGAATGTGTAATCAAGGTTTGGACTGGCTAGATCAAGAAGAGCAGTTCATTTGTATCCCTAGGGGTGTCATATTACCATTATTTTTTATAACAGTAAGTTGTTAACTATAATAATATTTTATTGCTTATCATGTAGTATCACAACTTACATTGTTTTTGTTGTTTTAATAGCGATATATACAGTAGTTTGTTAAATCTTTATCACAATTACTTTTATTACCTTTTCAATTTTATTATTCTATTATCAGTAATAAGTAATAAAAAAACATTACTTATTACCGTCTTATTACTTTATTACTCATTACGAAAAAATTTCTTATTATTTTTATTACTTTGCAAAAATTATTGGTAATTACTAGTAATAATAATAACGTTAAAAATGATTACTTATTACCGGTAATGATGATGTGACAGCCCTACTATTGATAGAATCTTTTTAATTCTGAATAGACTAACATCTTTCAATATGAATGATGTTGTTTCAATAGTATAAACTAAATATAAATAGTAGAGAAGAAATTACCGTAATGTAATATCCAAGCAGAATAGAAATCGAAAAGGAACAGTCGAATATACGTGGTGCAATTATAAAAAAATGAAAATTAATAACTAAACGAATATGCAAAAAGCATACGCTTTAATACTTTTTTAATAAACGATTTATTCATGCATAAAATGTCCTTTTCGTTTTAAGTACGTTTTTTATTTTTTTATTTTTTAATAGATAATTTATTCATGCGTAAAATTTCCTTTTTGCTTAAATGATGGAAAAATAAGCAAGCAACAAATTAGAAGTGACAAGGCATATTTTTCTTTTTCTTTCGTATATGTGATGCATATTGCTTATAGTTACTGTAGGTAGTTAATCAAAATGTGAGTAATTAATCAGTCCATCTTGCATTTACGAAACACACGAAGGTAGTCACATGTGAAAGCTTGTAGTTGGACGATGTTTTTCTCTTATTTTACATACAATTATATTGTGTTTCAATTATAAAAAATTTCAAAATGGTTATTTTTTGATAGATAAATGCAAACATTTTGTAACTATTTTCATATATAATTGGAAAGTAATAATTGTATCATATAACATTTTTAAGATTTATAATGTCCAGATTTAAAATCTATTTTATATAAGGGACAGATTGATTAATTAAATTTTTATTTTGGTTTATTTTTATGTCAGATGAGCTGTTTGTTGAAGTTTAGGAAAGAGTAACTGAAAATCAATTATTTGTGCATTTATAGAAAGGATGAAATCTATACAATAGCTTTCTAGCATTTTTGCAACATCATGTATTAATTAGTGCTATCACATTACCATTACCGGTAATAAATAATAATTTTTGCAAAGTAATAAAAAATAATAAGAAATTTAAGTAATAAAAAATTAGTAGCATTATCGCTCCCCTCCTTCCAAAATCCTAGATCCGCCACTGGAAAATATAATAATTATGAAAAATAAAATTTCATTGACCATTCGGACGATCGGATGATCGAAAGAAGATAAAAAATAATTAGTTTACATAAAAAGGTAATGTTCGTTGTAACAATCAGATGGCCTAAAAAAATATTCAGAATAAAAATTTACTGTTTATGGAAATGATTAGATGATTAAAATAGAAAAAATAATTCGTTGAAATAAAAGTTTTTCTTTTATGAAATTCAGAAATGAAACATTTTTCCAAATCGAAGTTGATTTTCGAGTTTCATTTATAATCATGTTTCGTTTTCTACTTTTACGAAAATAAATCTTCTCGGAAATCAAATTTGATTTCTATAAATTCAATGAATAAATCATAAACTTATGAAATGCTTGTGCTTATTTAAGATCGATTTTCTACAAAAATAGAATTTAAAAAAAATTACAGTGTAAGAAAATAAGTCTAAAAGGAAACGTAATGGGCCAAAAAAATACATCCTCATCTGAGAGTTACGATAAAAACTACGTGTTTTGTATTGTTATTCAGATCGTTAGTAAATGATGAGCGCTAGAAACATGATTTCTGTCTGAAGTGAACAGGCATCTCTAGAGCTAAAAAACAAGAAAAAATTATCAAAATTGATAGAGTAGAACCCGAGTTATAAGTATTTTTCTACTCGGGACCTAACGGTACAATTGGCGCGCTCTTCGCACATATATGATCGTATAGTATTTTTGCTTTTGTCATCTTATGTCCCTGTTCTTCTTTTCTGTTCACTTAAATTAAAATGCGTTATTTTCAAGTAACGAACAAACGATATTACTTTAGTATTTTTCCCTAGAATATATTGTACTACAAGAGACGAGAATAATTAAAGTAACCATTTCTTGTCGTATAAATACTTGAGTTTCTTCTTAAATAAAAGAACTATTGCTAAGCTTCCAAGCTATTATCTTCTTCTATAGTTTAAGATAAGACTGTAACACACATAAGTTGCCTGTAACACATTACATCGTAGTATTTTTTTTATAATAATGAGATACAAAAAGAAAGAAATTGCAGGGTGTGGGTGTGGGACTATATGAAATAGGACACCCACTCACATACACTCTGTTGTTACTGATGCTTCACTATCTTCGTCTTGATCAGTATGGCTATCATTAGTAGCAATCATTTTTTTTGCGAAGTACAAATATTACAGCTTATTGTATTCTTGACCAAGAACGAACAACAAACAGAAGATTGTATACAATGAATTGAAATATTTGCATGATTGATAGAAAATACTTTAGGAAGAAAAATATCGCTAAAGAATGGTCTCAGCAAGTGGTGTATATATTGATCGTTTTTATTAACTATTGGAAATCCGAGATCGTCATCTTATTAGTTCTCATTATACAACAAAAGACGACAAAAAAACATCAATATACATCACTGAGAATTCATCGGATATGTATGCAATAATGATTTATTAGAACTGAAACTGCGTTAAAACTGAAAAGCAGATAATATTTTAAAAAGCAGAAAAAAAAATGAAAAAGCAGAAAAGTTTTGTTGAATTTCTTAATATAGAGTGAAGATAAATGTTAGTCAGTATTGTGTAATGTTTTATAAGAGTAATATACTTAGTAGAATAATAAAGTGTTAGAGAATAGATAAAATTTAGTCATCGATAAACCTTAACAATGGAACAGAACACTGACGGTATACGGCGAACCATAGTTTACAGCAATAATATCGGGTTTATTATCACTATTCACATCGACGACTACTGCTGAATATGGGGTATTACCAACTGCGTAAGCAGTTGGGTAATTAAAGGTACCGCTGCCTGCATTGATAAGAACGCCGGCGGTGGTCGAACCATAGTTTGCAACAACAATATCGGGTTTATTGTCGCTATCCACATCGACAACTGCTACTGAGTATGGGTTGCTACCAGCATAGTACTCAGTTTGAGCATTAAAGGTGCCGTTGCCTGCGTTGAGAAGAACTCCAACGGTGTTATCGCCACTGTTTGCAACAACAATATCGGGTTTATTGTCGCTATCCACATCGGCGATTGCTACTGCTTGAGGACCAGGGCCAGCTGTGTAATTAGTTGCAGCATTAAAGGTGCCACTGCCTGTGTTGAGAAGAACACTGACGATGCTACCGGCATTGTTTGCAACAACGATATCGGGTTTATTGTCACTATTAACATCGCCGACTGCTACTGATATTGGAGAAAAACCAGCTGTGTAATTAGTTTGAGCATTAAAGGTACCATTGCCTCTGTTGAGAAGAACACCAATGTTGTTCGAACCATAGTTTGCAACAATAATATCGGATTTATTGTCGCTATTCACATCGGCGACTACTACTGAATATGGTAGACTACCAACCGCGTAAGTAGTTTCATTCGTAAAAGTACCATTGCCAACGTTGAAAAAAACACGGACGGTGCCATCGCCAAAATTTGCAACAATAATATCAGGTTTATTGTCGCTGTTCACATCGCCGACTGCTACTGAAAATGCATTGCTACCTGTTGTGTAATTAGTTGCAGCACGAAAAGTGCCGTTGCCTATGTTGAGAAGAAC